CATGTTTATAGTGGGGAAGATAGTAGTGATAGAGACATGTGATATGTATTCGGTTTTCCTGAGCCTTCGATTGAATTAGGCGTATGAGGCTAAAGTGGAATCCATGCCTGTCAGCTCGAGGACACATTTTGACCACATACGATAATCATTCCCGTTGTGTACTATATATTCTAAACAGGGAATGGGCGATGGTTACCTCAGATACAAGCCAAGGGGGTTATGGTAATCCAGTTCGAGTTTTCCATCCGCCACATACTACTACATTACGATATGCCTAAACATACTGATAGTTTCCATAGCAAGAAAGAGCGGTATCCTCTATCCAGAATATGGATAGGCCGCTGTCAAAGCATGGAATACGGAGGTGCCTAACCGTCCGTTGTGTTTCACCATCGGTGACAGATGGACCCTGCATTAGTTGACTAGCACATGACAGGTTGTTTCTGATGTCATGTGAAAGAGACACACCTCAGTTCGCCCGTAAGATCTTACAGTAGAATCAGCGGATGCATGGACTATCTCATCACATGTGATGAGACCAACGGCTGACTGCTAAGTAGGCAGGTACGTTGTTGTCCTTTGCTGGTGCCAGCAGAGCTTTTGCTGTGTTTGGATGTTTTCCCGGGCTATCGGCTGTTTTCTCCACCATCAAATCAACTCTCGGAAGTTACCACAAACAGGTTGGCAAGATATTGCTTGGCGAACCAAAACGTCATTCCATTCCCTCGACGAAGACATGAAGAAGTTAAAATAGAAGCGTCGCCACCAATGGCTTCTCACAATAAGCCGAAAAGGGTCCTCTGTTCTGGAGAACAAACTAGATAGTTTAGACGGTCGATAGATTGTCTTACCCCTCCCTACTGCAAGTAAGTGCTACTGTTAGCCTTGTGGTCCTTGGGGCACTGAGACCTTGTTGGTTTTCGCTTTCAGGGGGGCGCGCAAAGATGACCTAAAAAAAGGTAGACAAAAGAGGGGAAGTGCAGGAAGACAAGAAAGAAAGAAATAAGAAAAAACCGATCTAGCTAGCGTAGGTACCAGTTAGTCTTTTTTTGCACAGGGGTGGGCAACGAATGATGAAGGGTTTAGTTGGCAAAGAATGGGCCAAGTCAGGCACCGTCGACGCGTGATAGGCCCGATGGCCGGAATGGGGAAATTACCGGCGAACCTTAGCAACCACGCCAGCGACCATGCCAAGGCCGACTAGGCGTAAAGCGGAGTCTTTGGACCACGCTTGAGTGGAGGGCCAAAGACGAGCTTAGTCCCCTTTTGGTCGAGGACGAGTAAACAGCTGACTAGACTAACTACTAGCAGTACTGGTAGTAAACTCTGCCCCAGGCCAACTGTCCACCCACCCCTGCCTGCACTCGGTCTGGACTGCGCCTAAGCGCCCTTGCGCCTCGTTCCTGTCGTGCCGGCGTCCACCGGCCTGCCTCTCTCCCTGCCCTGCCCGGCACTCCTCTCCTCTTCCCTCCGTCGTCTCCTCTTTCTCACCCTTCCTGCGCTCGCTCTCTTTTCTGCCCTTTCTTTCCCTTTGTTCCTTTTCTTCCATTCTCCCAGGCGACAACCCCCATACCAACCCCTCCCCTCATTCTTCCTCCTTCCTCCACCCCCGTCACGTTCTCTTTTCCCTAAGCAGGTGTCGGCTTCACTCTTTCAGCTGCTCACCTTGCTGTCCGTTCGTTCGCTATAACCAACCTGGTCGATTTCCATCACCCCAGTTGAAGCCAACCTCCCCCACTCGCCTCGACTACTTGATTCTACCGACCTGATACATTCCCTTCTTTTGTCCAACGATCCCGTCTCCAACCGGTCCTTCTATACGAAAAAGAAAGCAGATCCGACAATCTGATTCTATCGCCACGAGACCCTTGTTGAGACATATTGTAAGTGACTGTCGACGACAGGCCGCTGTGCTGTGTGCCATATCCAGAATTGACCCGGGTATCGGAGGAAATAGTACAACTTCAATTCTTGAAACAACTTCGCGTATACCGAAAAGCACGCGGTTACTATCCAAACTCTTTCATTCGGATTGCATCCGAAGACCTATCAAACATAAAAAATCCAATCATCAAAATCATGTTCAACCCTATTTCGAAGCTTGTTCGGCGCGGTGATTCTGGAAGCAACGATGGTCTCTCTCCCTACATGGTCGATCTCCTGATTTCCCTGCTGGTTCTCATTCTGCTCGGTCTCGCCCTGGTCGGTGCTCTTCTTGTCTTGCGCCGCAAGCGCCTGAACCGCGAACAATCCGAACTTCCTGTACACAACGGGCAATGCGTGCCCAACCACCGTCGATTCACCGTCTCTGCTTCGCCGAACGCCAAGACAGAGTCCGTTCTGGTTTATGACGAGAAACGCAGTCTCATTGAGAATTCGTCGAGTCCCCCGCCCAGTCCGGTTCCCGAAATCCGCATCACGTTCCCGGAGGAGGAGGACGAATCCGGCAAGCGCAAGTCGGGTCGAGTTGTGGTTGTGAGAATTACCGACGCAGGTGGAGTGGGCTTGGAGCCTTGCAACGAGGAACTTCCGCCGTATCAATCCAGCGATGCGGAGCGATTCCAGTCGTTGGATATCGAGCGCATGGGTGGGCTCAAAGAAAAGGAAGCCACCAATAGATGGTCTTAGAAGGATCGAACTGCTGAACGACAAACCGTCATCTGCTCATTCTTCCCATCGACTGATACCCCCTCGAATGACCGACGTCGCCTGTTTGTCGCACCTGGACGAGATTCGAAAAGCATGACGATATCCCGGCGAAGATTTGCCTCGTTTCCATCTCCGTATTTAGACCGCTCTGCTTCATATTACCTTCGCGACTTGCACATACGCAAATACTCCGTCCTGTTTAGCCACCACGCTCGCCGTTTGACCCTGGGTTTCAGTATTGACCAACTTCAAGCGCGTCAGGTTATAAATTGACCGATCAGTGCATACTGGCCCGACCTCTGTACAGCAAGGCTTGCTGGTTTTCCTTGATATTTTGTGCTTTATTCTCCTTGATAAGGCGTTCATTTCTTGTGCTTGGCCACTTTGGTTCTCTTCATCCTGCCACGTCACTAGGGTTGAAGAGATGTTACGCATTGGTTTGGTTGAAGTTTTCATTCTCCTTTGCATTCTTACTTGCTTCTTATCTTACCCTTCTCTTCTCCCACGCTCGCCCTCTACAAGTCTCGGGTTTGCGTTCAGGGGTGTCTTACAGCTGGATAATGTATGTACCTAGTCTGACTCTGCATTGGATGGCCGCCTCACGAGGTGTGAGCCCCAATGAATGCGTTTATTTGATAAATACATGAACTCTTGATCAGCGACTTGACGAATTTCAATTATATTGGACTGGTGTCTACCCGTCCACGTGACATAAGCTCTGACTTTGGAGTGACATTTGGTTCAGCCGTGCTTACGAGACAAGATGTACAATGAAAGCAGCTTAGCACCTTTGCTCAAGGGTAAACTGGTCTAAAAGCCGTTGGCACCATTAATGGTCCTGGCAAACAAGGAGAGAAGCCCTTTGTCTTCCAGCCGAATCTACTTGCCCTTGAGAGTGGCAAACAAAGCCTGAAAGGCTCTTTTGAAACATTCCACCAAAGAACAGGGTTAGCTAGCCGTGGGACTGGAATTAGGGCGGGAGTTGGAGCTAAAAGTTAATTTATACCAAGTACTAACTTGGCTTATTTGTTTAGTCAAGAGAAAATAGATCATCGGATGTATTAAGATACATCGACATTAGCCTTGTCCTGTTCCTTCAGTGAATAAGAAAAGATCATATTCGTAGAGGTAATGTTGCAGTGGGTTTCTCGTATGACAATATGATAAGGCTTTGGACTTGAGTCATTGGTTATAACAGTTGGGTGGGTTTCTGACTTGCGGGTTGTATACAAAGTGATTGTATTGGATTCGATCTTGTCACTTCGTTATCTCCCTAGTGTATTGGGCCAGCACGTGGATTTAATAGTTATGTTGGGCATAAAAGCTTATATTAGGTGGCTTAATGTTGATTAGCTATAGTTAAATAGTTATTCTACTCTTCATCATGTATACCATCTCACTTCAGTCAACCCAAGATGTTGATAGCCAGAGACCCCAATATCCGTGGGAATATCATTGGCCATTGCCAGATAAGACAAGGAGCTTACCGAGCATTCCAGTAATCACCTCAATCACCTTTTGAAGCCTCCGCCATTTGCTATAATCAGGCAGAGGAGAGCGCAGATAACAGCTATTCCATGGAAAGTACCTTATGACAGAAGCCGAAACAAGACGGATTCTACCATAATGATGTGCCATCCAATGAAAGTGCATGCTTGTTCTTCCTTTGTCTCTTGCTATAGTAGGTTCAGATGCCACCGCGTGATATGCTTTCAATGGCGGTGATGTGGTATGCTCTCTTCGACATCGGAGATTGTTAGGAAGATAGCTTGAGCATGAATGGATAGAGAGGTACCTCCCTTGGTGTAGTGAAAGTCACAAGATACTGATGACTCTATGGTTTCAGGTACCTCGGGTTCGACCACCGCACAGACATATAGAGGATGGAGAGATTGCTGAAAGCGGATTGGACTTTGAGACATAATGGTTTGTCTGAAAGAGTAAAGAGGAAAGCCCTTCAATGACAGTCGGATTCACGAGATGCACGAGGTACAACAACAAAGATGCTGGATACAATACAGTGTGATGACAAGTACCTCAACGGTTGTGTCCGTCTCGTTTGATTCGCAAGAGGTATCTTCTTCAAGACACCAGCAGGTCACAAGGTCATTACCTAGAGGTCTCGATCGGCTATACTCTGTGACCAGATGGATGAGACCGAGAAACGTATTCTCCAAGATCAACATTAACCTATAAAGATGCCCGTTACATCCACGGCATGATTGGGAAAAAAGAAATCTACCACTCAACCCCTCTCAATTCATCTCATCGCCTCTCATCCCATCTTGTCTCACTTCAGTCTACTCCCTTGCACTATGGCTACTCCAGCTTCTGCTCCAGCTTCTGCTTCGATGCTTACTTCTCTTAGGGAGGGTTTGGCCATAGCATTAGACACAGCTCGAGCTCTAGTTCCTGCCCCGGCTTTGCCACCAGATTTGTCTTTCAGTTTCCTCAATCCTGCCAAATTCCCTGCATACCCGAGTCCCGAGTTGAGACGATACGTGGCATGGCTGCTGAGGGAGGCCGAGGTACCTGCCTTTCTATGGGGGCCCGAGATAACCCGGATATACGGAAGCAAGAACAAATTCCGAGTAAGTAATCTTGAAAAAATTTCCTATATCCCTTCACACACTGTACCACCACTTTCAGCTCAGCTGGCTAATGTAATAACCTGCACAGTACCACCTCTGGGCAGTAAAGGATGAGGAAATGGAGAAGGCCGTGCAAGTGCTCGATAAGGCTGGATTCCCACCCTGCCAGAATGGCCTTCGTTGTACGGTCTTTGACCCTCAGTACACTAAACTTCCATCTCCCGACCATCACTACCACACAGAGCACAATTATGAACAAGATAGTGTCACTAGCGGTGTCTATTTGTACCGGAAGTCCCGACTATTCCCATCCCTCCCTGATCCGCCGCTTCACGACCTGGAGCCTAATGACAGATACTATATGCTCAGTTCCGACGAACGGTTCCCTGACTGGAACATTGATGCTAGTGAGCGCTCGTCTGAGCAAAAGTACCCTGTTATCGTTCCTACGCCTGCCAGATATCTGGAGGCCATTTGTCTGCTGGCTGTCCGTTATATTGAAGGGCAGCATTCGAGTATATTTTGGAACGCGGAAATCTATCGCATGATGAATCTCCTGGGCGATAGGTTTGTCGATGTATTACAATTGAGCGACCTTGACGAACCATGGTATGAATATTGCAGGCGAAACGTTGATCGCAGTCATAGCGACCGCGTGGATGACTGGCGAGGTCGCAAGTACCAGGTCATGATCTATGCTGATCTGAAGGAAAAGGGCCAGCTTCAACCACCTGAGACAAAGGAAATTCTACAAACTAGAGGGTTGAGCTCGGCAATTGCAGAGGCTAGGGGTTTGTTTCCGGATGCACTACTCACGTGAGAATCAGCTCGCTTCACGCATCCTATCGCTCTATATCAATCTTTGATTGCTATCCTTCACTCATACACGCCCATTCTCTTGCTATCTCCTTTTGCATATATCATTACACTCAACAATAATCTGTATGCTGCTTCTAAGTGTCACGAAATCCAGGTTGTAACCCTTTGGCAATGGAAGTATGACACCGTGTGCATAGCATACACCGAAAGCATGCTTCTCCACCACTTTTCTCCAAGTTTCTTTAGTAACAGCAAAACAAATAGGTACAAAGAGACAAAAGAACCGAAATGTAAGCAGAAATCTCAGCAAAAAGACAAGCAGACGGTAGACACAGGCAGGGCAAAAATTAGATTAATGTAAGCAATAAACAGAGATAGATCAAACAAACAAAGAAACTTTTTTCTTCTGGTTTTTAAATAAGAAAAGCCAACAGACACATTAAACAGCAGACAGTGAACGAAACAGACACAACAACAACAGAGAACACAAGCGAGCGACTGAAGCCCCTGCGGGATTGTGCTTTATCGAAGACAACCTCCCAATCGAATTCCGGGACTTTCCCAAATTTGGCAAGATATTCATTTGAATCATTCAGAATCTTCAATTGATCAGACGTCAGACGATGCCGAGAAGTGTAATTAAGATCGACATTGATAAGTTCCTTAAGTTTGACCACGTCGGCGGCATCTTTCTCATTCTGCTCCTGGGATCTCATGCCGCAAGTATAGGTCTTGCAGACCATGAGGTCCAGTTTATCAACGAGCGGAAGCCTGGTGTGATGAAATTGCTGAAGGGGCTGGAAGCCTGTGGGGACATACGGCAACTATATAAATGAGAGAAGCGGATACATCAATCAGTACCGTATTTGCCCCATTGTAGAGATCCGCCTGAGGATCGAAAGGAGAGGACTTCTAGCCTGGAAAATTGCTTACCTCAGTTGACGGAATTATGCTTATACGGGGACGGCCGAGAGCCATATTCCAGTATAGCAAATTTGTCGGCCGCTCGAAACCGTTGATCTGGGCCAGTTTTGCTTTGATCTTGCGGGCCAACTTGGGGGGATGAATTGCGATTTCCAAATTCTGCGATACTTGGTCAGCATATATCCTGTATAGCCCTTACTAGTATTCTGCTTGCCTCTGTTTCTTCTTCGCGGATGTAGCAGTGGACTGCCAGGTCTCCTACGATGAGGCATTGTAGCTCGTCGAAGTCATCAATTGCTTGAAGGTCTGGATCAGTCACAAGTAATGTAATGAACTGCATGAACTTATTGATAGTAATGTCATTAGTGGGCTGAAGGAACGAAACAGTTGCCTTATAGATAAAATGTGAGATGAATTCCACGATGATCTCAACGAAAGGATGCATTGCAGACGATAGGGAGTTTGTTGTGTAGATGAGAATACTTCTTGGTAAAAGACTGTGCGTATGAACAAGTATGTAGGAGAAATGATACCTAGAGAGCACAGCTTTTGAAAGGGCAGTTGGGCTGGATCGATGTTGTATATCAAAGGAGTGGCCTTTGACGTTAACATATCGTAGGGGAAAGAGAAACAATACATCTGTCGTCATTTATTTTCATGACCGAAAGACATAGTTGCCTTCAACATGTGTCCCGATTGTGTTTTACTGCAGATGCACTGAACCCAAGCCGAAAGTCAACCCAAAAGTCAGATTACAACGAACCTTTCCAATGAACGGAGTGCCCGGACACTTTCCTGTGCCTTTCGTCATAAGAGGTCTCAATGCGAAGTAAGCCTATCGGTGGGCCATCCATATGTGAAGTATTGAGTCCCTTTCTTGGAGGGCTGTTTAGATACGCGACGCCCTGGGCATGATGAATTCTAGGCCTTTGAAGGCCAGTGACACGAGACTGTCAAAAGTCCCGACCCGTGGAGAAGCACACGTCTGGAAAATGGAGGACCTCAAGGCTTACATCCGTTGCAGGCTATGAAAAGAACTTCTCGTGACGCTGTTGGGACAGTAGAGACACGAAGTATGGTAGACATCGACAAGACAACTATTCAACGGCGATAATGCTTCCTGACAGTGTGTATAGGCGGCAGAATTATGGAGGGTCACCCTCGAAGAAGAAAAGGCACGGGGTAGTGTATACCCTTCGGTCTAAGGAGGCAGCGAGAGTAGACTTGCCGATGGGAGGACCGCCGCCCGTCGCATAGCATTGTTGATGTTGGGGCCCTCAATGAACGACCGTTCGATTGGACAAGTGACGCCGGCGGGCGCGTGGTGATCCGTCCCGTATTTCCAAGACAATGTCTATTCACCAGGTCGCTCTTCCCTTTTACTCAATAGGCAGGGGGTCTAGTCTGGCAGAATGGGAGTTGCAACATCACGAATGATGGTAATAGAGTTCAACTATATTTGATGATAGGTGCCATTTCAGACATCACAACCCCCATGGTAAAGGAAAAGGGGGACGAGAGGATGACGTGCGCTTGAAAGGATAGCGTTTCAGAGAAGTTCCGCATCTCCTGAAACATGATTTGCAGTTCGTGTTAGCAGATAGTGTTCATCCATAAGCGATTGATAGTTGGATATCAATATGGAACAGACACTTGGGCCCGGCCAGCATGGGCGTCCAGCCAGCCGATGGCTCTGATCGTCAAACTGGGCGGAGATAGCATCTATGAGAGTATGACTGGCGAATGAACGACAGCGAACTGATCTGGAATGTCCAATTGTCTCACTCAAGAGATACTCCGGGGGTGAGTGGGTGTCCAACGAAAGCTTCATGTAGAAACGTGAAGCAACTCTGAGCAACGTACTTTGGGGAGGCAGGCACTGAATACATCGACCTCTAAAGGAAGGTGCAATCACCTGACCACGCTTGCCCAAACTCCGCCAAAACAGGAGTATCACAAAAGTATCATCCGCTCAGGCTTTGCGTGGGCTTTACCCAGAAAATTTGCTAAGTGTTGCCGACAGTCAACTTACGACAGTCATCATAACCCGGTACGCTTAAATAGCGCTTAGATTACATTCGGCTTCCCTTCATTCCGACCCATGGCTTCTCTATCCCGAGACACCTACCTCTTTTCCTCGTTTGGCTGACGCCACTGGCCTCCCACAAGAAACTCAATGAGTGGCGTTTCATACATGCTCCCCCTTTTCCTTTTCACCGATCTTATTTTCTGGTACTGACAAAATGCTGTCTCTCAGGTCGCTTGATGACAAACAGCGATCTGTCAGATCTAGTCACTAAAAGAATGCTTGACAAAGTCTACGGCAATCGAAAGTCTCGCCACAGTAAGAGCCACAGTGGTTTGCGCGAGCTACCTCCCAAGAGCATCTTACTAAGGGGCCCGCCTGTACGCGTAAAACCCTATTCTAGACACGGAAGCCTCATAGGGGACCTCAAACAGAAAGGGGGAACCTTAGGTAACATTCGTCTCATACGGCTGGGGATTATCGTCACTGGGTAGGTCCATACTTGCATGTTTTTGTTTTTTTTTGGGGGGGGGGGGGGGGAAGGGGGGGAAGGAGGAGATGAGTGGCGTGAGCTACACATGTGGTATGAGCAATAGCCGGAAGCGCCTCATAGTGTGCTCTGTAGGTTCTAGAAGGTCGAGAGCGATCATGCACCCGCCATATCAACCTAAACTCAGACACATGCATTACTCTTCTTCCGGCATCTGGAAATCGAAGACTGATTTTTAGATACCATAGCCCTTCTGGATTCCAACAAAACACCGATGATCTCTACCACAAGCATTCAATCCATCTCTTTCTTGCAAAACCCAGTGTTTGTTATTTATCAAACTGTAGTCAAACAGAAAAAGCCCCTTCACCACCTCTACCACTAATGTTTTCTCTTCTCATCTTCTTCCTTTGATAATCTAGCTAGAACGCAAGAAAAGATCACATGTCACACTTTATTCCTGTTTTGCCCTGCAATATTCCTCTATATGCTGGGTATAGTAGTTTACATACACGAGACTCCACACAATCTTATACAGCTTACCACGCCCCAAGCAAGTCAATGTTGGTAGCGCAAGCCCGTCAGACACACACAGCGGATATTCAGTACCCATGAAAACAGCCGTACGCTGTCAATATACGTACTATGGAGCAGATCCTGTGAAATGGTCATAGATCGAGGACTTCCACTCATTATCCCAGATCCATACTGAAACCACACACATCTTCTCGTAATTCAGCCTATCGGACCCGCTTTTACGACTGACAGAGTTATTCCACTGTTTGATCCTGTACTCAGACTGAAATAGAACATGACTCAGGCCACTATCGTAGTTACTGACCTAACCATCATGCTGTGGCGTTGATCGATTAGGCTCGCGGCCGATAGTTTGAACTAAGTAGTTATATGAGATGAGTGATATACCATGTAAACTACTGTAGGTACAATAAACAAACTACTACTTACATTGTGGGTGCGGGAAGTGGGGGTCTGCTATCAGTCAATGTATCTATCTACTATCTACTATGTAGTGTCATAGACGTCTTGGTATTTAGTTGTATGAACTTTATTTGGCACTGCTCTCCTACCGCAGAGTGAAAGCAAATGGTGATTCACTACCAAGTGTGAGACGGTGTCAAGGGTGGAATTGATCATCAATGAAGTGATAAGCTGTTTTTTACGTTCCTAGTCTACGCAGCTGGAAATGGTGCGATACTACATCTGATTATTTATTTCATTTCCCAAGGTATGCTTGAGTGGACCAGGACAGTAAAACATTGCAAGAAAGAAGCATGAGGTAAAAAAAAAAGAAAACTTTCTGAGGACAGTGAACTTTTGTTTTGCGTGCTGCAGGGCAAAAGGGGTATTTACACAAGTCGCAAAGCATGGGTGTTAAGATGTACAGTCATCCGTCGTAGCAAAGGGGTCATAAGTGAGTCAATGAAAATCAGGTGAACTATTATTGTTTCGTTTTCGTTTTTCTTTTCTGGCCCCGGGTTTTCCATTCCTGATTTTGTCGAGCTAAACCAAGATAACTTGTGGCCTTCAACGACCCCAGCGCGAAAAGTCCAAGTTCTGCAGGATATTCGTGTCTGCAGCCGCATTCCAATCGGTCGCAAAATCGGTCCGCACAGAGGTGTTGCGCGAGGGTACTTCTTCGGAGAATATGTTGGCTTTGGTGTTGCGGCGTTGACCGGGATAAGTCCCTTCGGCAGCCTCAGAAGTTTGAGCCTGATTTCCTAGCGCTCGCTCGCGAAGTCTCTTGATCTCACGCAGTCTGTTGCGCCACGATGAAATGTGCTCGCCTCCTTGGCTGTGCCAGACCAGCGAGAAAACAGACGCGTTGAGAGCGAGAATCCGAACGAACGGGGCCAGGTTCTTCCCGGAGATAAGCTTTGGCACCGCGGCAGGTGATATTTCTGGGAACCCGGGCTTGCTCATCACCTTCACTTGGTAAAACATGTTCTCAAAATCGGTTCGTCTCGACTCCGCGCTGCTAGGATCATTGGTGAGACGGCACACAGGGTTGATAACAATGTTGACAAAGTTGAATTGAGAGGGTATCGTATTGAAGTTGAAAGGTGTATTCGACCGGTTGAACACGATGTTGACGAAATCATTTCCTATGTGGCGTTTCTTGTTGACGCAGGATGGATCGTTATCAAAGTTCGTAGGCATCATGGTCGGAATATGGTAGACAATCTCCGTAACCCGGTCACGCCATGCATAAGTGAATTGGCCATCAAAGTCCGCATGCAACCCTTGAGTATTAAATCGAGCACCCTGGAGCGGCACTTTGGTTCCGAGTCTTGACAGAAAGTATTCGTAGTCTGGGCTGCCGCTGGTATTCGAGAGAATTTCTGCTTCAGTAGTCTGACCGTTGTCGATGTATATGACACCAATCTTGTGTCCATCCACAATGTCATTGCGGTCAAAGGTGTTCAGTGCTCGGCGTGTGATGTCATCTTCGGGAAGAGGGATCGGTTGCATCACCGTAGGTGTCGGGAAAGCCGTGGTTGTCAGCTGAAGCATGATATGGCTCGGAAGGACAGCAGTGCGCATGGTGTCAGAATGTAAGTGGGCATCTGGCGTGGGTGGAACTTGGTGAGGAAGAACAGGTGCAGTTCGTTGCTGAAACATTGCGTAGGTAGTCCCTGACGCTTGCCTCTTGGTGACCTGAGTCAAGCCGGATACTCCAGCCGTCTCAACAGTCACGATGCTCATACCTACAATCCAAGACTTCTTCACTGCAGGTCCATCTTCAGGCGTGGGGGGAAAGGTCGGATAGGGTATAGTGTCCCCCAAATCGGAAAAGGCCGCTCTCTGCATCAAGTCGATGAAGACCTGGCTTGGCTCTTCAACTGTCTCTCTACCGTGTTCATCCCGATATATGAGTCTGCTAGTTATCCAATTCACGTGTTTGGCTCGATCCTGCAATTTCAATGAAAGGAACCAGAAGATCATGACATGATACGTAAGAGTATATATGTATCTTGACATCCCGTCCTGGAGTGAAGAATCAGACGACTCTGCGGGCGAAGCCATATTATCTCGGACACCACTCCCAAGTCTTGTTGGAACCTGAACATTCCTGGTGGGCGACTCAGAAGCCTTGAATCGCTGTTCCCTGGAAGTCTGTAGAAATCTGATACAGATGCCGAAGACAGTGCGGATCTCTTCCTCGCGTAGGTTGATATAGACATCAGGAAGGCGTGCAAGAAGAGCCAAAAACTCCAAGATGTGCACAGCAAGATTGGACATTGTAATAACTTTGGACATCTTGTCAAGGATTCCGTTGAGTGACTTAGTTACCGAAAGGGGAATTTCATGGCAACAGACAGAGAGCGCATGTATGCATCCGCGAGACGTGCCACCCCAGGATCCAATGATACCCATCATGAATGCACGGACAAGTTCGTCTTCTTCACTTTTGGCAAAGTGTTCATGATAGCTGACTAGGGAGCAGAGAAATTCGAAGATGTAACCAGCCACGTCGGTTTTCTTTCCACCTGTGGACGGCGGAGGCTCACGAAACGTGTCATTTTTCACCTGATCGCAAAGGATACTGCGCAGTAATTTGATTTGGGGAACTGCGTTGCTGAAGAGATCTTTATTCTGAAGTTGGCTTGCAAGATGGGTGAGAACGTAGCTGTAGAGATCCCAGTTAGACTCCCGTTGCAGCAATGAGATGACGGTCTCAAGCCACATGTTCGCCTTCAATGCAACCTTCTGCGCAGGTTCAGATTCTATGTGGTGACTCGTTTCTGGCGTGGCATAAGCGTAGACGAAAGGACTCGACTCATCGGGGGGTGCTTCAGGAAGGGCCTGCGGAGTCGCGAAGGTCCAAAGTGGAGGCGTCAGTCTTGAGGCCCGAATGGGAATGCTTGGATTACGTCCGGACGACCTAGAAAGCACCGATGGCTCCCGAGCCGAATGCCTTGCATGGGCTGCTGGTCGCCCTTGGTCGCTATCAACGATATGTTCACCAGCCGGGTCACCCTGTTGTTTCGAGCCTGCTTCAAAATTTCGCCCGGAAACGTTCATCATGAAATCTTGTTCAGAGACGGAGGTCACGGTAATCGAGCCCGACGAATCGCATCGGAGTCGGAATAGTAGCTTCAGTGATGTCAAACGCGAGTCCACCGGCCGCTCTGAGCATTGAGCTATGTTCAGAAGTGCTTCATACACCAAAGCCGCCTTAGTCGCTGACATGTTTAGGGATCGGAGAAACATCCTGACAAGTCCAATAGTGCAAATATTGGCCAAGGAAAGCTCCATAACACTGCTAAATGAACGGCGTTCCGAAGACAAAGTTGTCGAAGTCTCAGAGCCGATCATACCCTCTTTGTCCAGGTCTTTGCTCATGGGCGAGCTTAACACTGTCACCAAACGTTTGAAACTTTCATTATCACTGACGAGCACAGAAGCGTCGACAAGAAAAGAGACCAACGATTCTAGAAATAGAATATCGTCCTCCTCAGCAAACCTTTCCAGCATGAGGTCAAGGAGTCCCTGTTCCTGGAAGAGAACCAGAGAATCGTATGTTGAGAAAGAATCCTTCACAGTATCCAAAGCCAAGATCCGAACGTCGGATGGTTTGCTGCGGGAGCGGATGAAGCATCGGATGAGACGTTGGTTCTGCTGTACCCAATCCGGGCTCACCGGGGAGCAAAATCCTTCGGTGCGGATAGTGTTGAGAACGAGCTCAGCCTGGGGAGGCTCGATATGTCGACAGGCATTCATTAGGAAACGGGTGGCGTCTAGCCGCTGCTGATGATTTAAGCGATCCCAAAGCGCTTCCAAAGTAGATGCAATTTGAATGGTGCTTGCCAGGATGTTAGACCGTGTGTCATCTAACACGCTGCCGCGCGGCTGCGCATCAGGCATTGTGAAGGGGGATTCTTCGTGTTCGTCAACGGCCCTAAGAGAGCATGTATTCAATAAATTCACAAACTCGCTCCAGTCATTGTCCAGGGCCGTGTGAACGTAGTCACCTTCCAAAACATTCAAACACAGCTCCAAGATATCTGCCTCCAACCGGCCATCATCCTTCTTTACAACAACCTGGAGCGACTCTATCAGATGCCCGAACTGGAATCTGGGTATCCCATCTTGACCATACGCGCGCACAAGATCCATGAAAACATAAACCGCTCCCCGAACAACGTTGAGGTTACGAGAGTTTTCACCGCAGGACTCCCTTAGAAAAGCATATAGGTTGTCCATCATCTCGGATTGCCTTCTCGACTTTGCTAGATTCCGCACAGCTCTCGACGTCGGACCGGACAACGATTTGACAGATGCATGAATGCTGCATAATACCTCCAGCATGGGAACGAAGCTTCCATCCGGAACGTCTGCATAGAGTATTACGGCATCAAAAACGCCCAGGGAGTTCTTGATGTCAGCGGCAACGCTTGTCTTGCGGCAAATCGTGAAAGTCTGATCTAACAACGTCTGTACCTCTTCGTCGCTTGGTGGCTTGCGTTGTAGTGTGATAAGATCGATCGCAAACTGTAGGAGGTCATCTAATACAGCGCCATCGTATCCTAACCCATTTGTTTTGCCAACTTTGGTTTTCCTAGCTTTCAAGCGCGCAGATGAAACCAATTCGTATAATGGAAGCAAGCAAGACGATATCACAGGGAGAATGGACGAGGCTGCAAACTCTAATTTTCGGCCATGATCCGATAGAGCTATCAAGGACTGCACACGCGCGGGAACAACGTCATTATCTGATGGTTTTGCTATTGAATCGAAGACGATGCGCCGCGCTGCGGGAGACAGGTCTTGCCGTGCGGCAACGGCTTCCAACAACATCGAACCGCTCCGTCGAGCTTCGGGTGAGCTTTCATGGTGGAAAAGATACGCCCCGGCTTCCCAAAGAGCAAGCGATTGTTCCGGAGTGAACCACTGGAGTGACTTTGATATTTGTTCCGCCTCTTCTACAGCGTGGCCTAGAGACTGCCTCTGAGCCAATGTTCGGACTGCCGTATCAAAATCCCGTGCACCAGAGGTGTCGGATGAACTGGATACGACGCTACCGCGATGCATTGAGTCAAATCCCAGCACAGTCCGACTGATCCTGCGTCCATCCGATGAATGCGATAAGGAATCACTGCTATCGTGGAGCGAAATTGGAGAAGGTGACTTTGGGCGGGAAATGCTTAGTGACTTGAGTACGTCGACAAAACTTGATGCTGCGTGTTTGGTATAGTACGGGGATTGAGCATCGTCAGAAGACATGCGTCCCAGCGGACGAGGGGGTGCGTATGGGGTTCTTCAGGGCAGAGGACTATTATATCTGTCCGATGACCGGTCAGCGACGGGATTGTGACTAGAGGCCACGGAAGGTCACCGGTCAGCTGGAACTGACCAGCTCTACATCGGCGATCCACTTTACGCAAAATCTCACATACCATTGGCAGGTCATATGGATGGATCAGGACGAGAACAGATCCGCAGAAGGCGTATATATAGGCTTTTACCGAATGTTACACTCGGAGAGCTGCTCCCAGCGGCATATCAGTGGGAAACTAGTACTCGGACAACCGGGATCGGGGAATCGGTCAAAGCATGTATTCCAACTCTTAGGCAGACAAAGGAAGGTTGCCGAACAAGTACAGCCGGGGTGAACAAAGAGACAGGGAAGCTAAGTTGATACTTTGGGGATATAATCAGAGCAAAAGTGCGCCAAGCCACTTTTCCCCTCCGAGCAGCGATGATGATGATCTGGCGGAGGTCGGCAAGGCTTTGATCCGCACCCAGTCACCTGATGGGCAGAATCACCCCGCGACCGCCACTCACCGCCTGGATTTTGCAAAGCAACCGCCAAACAAACTGCCAGTCCAGGAATCGAGCTCCCACCCGGCTTTTACTGGAGCCATTCTTTATTATACCCTTGGGTTCTTTCTCTAGATTAACCCGTTCTAGCTCTGCAAGCTCTTTCCCTCATTCTTCTTCAACAATCTGCATTTATCCCCTAATTTGTGTCACTTTTCCACATATATCAACCATATCGCTCCCTTGGCTTCTTAGTTACACCCCGCTTCAAAATGGCTGATGGTCTTGGGGCTGTTGCGCAGCTCCTCGAGGCAAGCTTGGATCCCAGGCAGAACAAGCAAGGTCGGTGATTTCCCTCTGCCTCTTACCTCAAAGACTCACTTCTGAGTCCTTTGGAAGCTTTGATTTTTACATTGCATTAATCAAAGAAACCCCAACTGATTGTGAGACCAGCCGAACTTGCTCTTCGCCAGGAGGAAAAAAAACCGAACTACTCTCTGCAGCTCCTCCAAATCACGGCTTCCGCGTCCTACCCTTACAATACCCGTTTGGCTAGCGCATTATGCTTCAAGAACTTTATTAAGAGGAACTGGACTGATGAAGATGGAAACTACAAGCTCCAGGCGGAGGAGGTAACTACCATCAAGCGGGAGCTGATTAGCCTGATGATCTCCGTCCCTACGGGCATTCAAACACAATTGGGAGAAGCTGTTAGCGTTATCGCAGACAGTGATTTCTGGGAGCGATGGGATACACTTGTGGATGTAAGTTAGAAGTGTCATGTTCCCGGCTTGTGCGTGGTCAATTGACGTCCCTAGGATCTCGTTTCTCGACTCCAGCCGAACAACCCCGCTGTCAACAATGGCGTACTCCAAGTCGCACATTCCATTTTCAAGAGATGGAGACCCCTTTTCCGGTCGGATCAGCTGTACCTGGAAATCAATCATGTTCTCGAAAGATTCGGCAGCCCTTTCTTGGCTCTATTCGAGGTGGGTTACTCAGAGCTCAAAATCATGGGCCATTCGTGTTGTCAAGGCCAATGGGTTTTCTGACAGAAAACTGACTTCCTTATAGGGTCTGGATGCCTACCTTGAGGAGAACAAATCCAACAAAGACAATCTTGTTCAGGGATTTACGCAACTCAATTTGATGATCAAATTGATGTATGACCTTTCTTGCCACGATCTTCCTCCGATGTTCGAAGAAAATATTTCAGGGATAGCCTCGCTCTTGCTCAAGTATCTGACCTACGATAACCAACTCCTGCACACCGATGACGATACCGAGGCAGGACAGCTGGAATTTGCGCGTGCTGGAATTTTCCAAGTCTTAACTCTGTACGTGCAAAAGTACATGGATGAGTTCAAGCCTCATATTGGACAATTTGTCGAAAGCTCATGGAGCTTCTTGACACTTATTGGTCAGGAAACCAAGTACGACATTTTGGTCAGCAGGGCTCTGCAATTCTTGACTTCGATTGCGGGCATGACCGAACATGCCGCTGTGTTCCAGGCCGAAGGCACCCTCGGCCAAATCATCGAGAAGGTCATTCTCCCCAATGTCAGTTTGCGTGAATCTGACGAGGAGCTTTTCGAGGATGAGCCGATTGAGTTCATTCGTCGCGACCTTGAAGGCTCAGACAGCGATACTAGACGGCGTGCCGCAACCGACTTCCTGAGACGGCTTGCCGAGAGATTTGAGGAATCCGTTACGAGCGTTGTTCTCAGATACACTGAGCACTACCTCTCTGAATACGCCAAGGCTCCCGCCACTAACTGGAAGGCCAAGGACACTGCAACCTATCTTTTCTCTGCCATTGCAGCGAAGGGAACTGCTACGTCAAGCCACGGTGTGACTGCTACGAACAAACTCATTAGCATTACCGATTTCTTCCAGAAGCACCTTGCGGCTGATTTGATTAACGATGAGGGTGTACATCCCATTCTCAAGGTCGACGCCATCAAGTACCTCTACCTCTTCCGAAGCATTATCACCAAGGAGCAGTGGCAGGAAGTTCTCCCTATGTTGGTCAAGCACCTCGGCTCCTCGGAATATGTCGTCTACAGTTATGCGGCGATCGCCGTGGAGCGTGTCCTCTACCTTACCGACAGCCAAGGCCAACCGATCATTTCCCCCGCTACTATTACACCGCTGTCTAAGGACTTGTTGGAACACATCTTCTCACTGATCCAAAAGGACCAGGCCCCTCAGAAGGTGCAGGAGAACGAGTTCCTGATGAGATGTGCGATGAGAGTCCTGATTGTCATCAAGGAGGGCATTGTGCCGCACACCGACAGTGTCCTTCAGCACCTGATCACTATCACGAAAATCATCAGCAGCAACCCAAGCAACCCTAGGTTCTACTATTTCCACTTTGAAGCCCTTGGAGCTTTTATCCGGTACGTGAGCTCCGGTAGTCGCTCGAACACGGTCACTAACCGATAGATTCTAGGTTTGCGGCCCCTGCCAACCCCGACAAACTCGAACAAGCTCTTTACGCTCCTTTCGCAGAGATCCTCCAAGGGGATGTGCAAGGTCAGTTGCAAACCATAAGGAACGGCACTATGAGCCGTGGCTAACGTATGATTAGAGTTCATGCCTTATATCTTCCAACTCTTTGCTGCACTTCTTGAGGCAAACCCGTCGGGAACACTCCCTGACTACTATCAGAACCTGATTGCCCCGATCCTCATGCCTGTCATGTGGGAGTCGAAGGGTAACATCCCTGCGCTTGTGCGACTTTTGTCGAGCATCATCCACCGCGGATCTCAATACATCATCCAGAATGAGCAAATTGCTCCTGTTCTGGGTATCTTCCAGAAGTTGCTTTCGACCAAGACCAATGAAGGTTATGGATTCGACCTGTTGGAGTCCGTGGTTGCAAACTTCCCTCCGTACGCGAAGCCCCAGTATGATCATTGATACGATCATTTGCTAACTATACTCCAGGGCAACACTGGAACAATACTTTGTTTCCATCATGCAGATTATCCTTACCCGCCTCCAGAATTCCAAGACGGAGAACCTGACCCTCCGATTCGTCCGTTTCTACCATTTCGTCTCTGCCCAGGATGACAAGGGCTACAGTGCTGATTTCGTCATCCAAGTGATCGACAAGGTCCAGCCCGAGTATGTACAATCCAATTCCACCGTGGGAGCTAGCATGCTAACTGCCTCCAGGCTGTTCACTCCCATCTATCTGAACATCATCCTTCCTGAAACACAAAAGCTCGCTCGTCCGTTGGACCGCAAGACCGCAGTGCTCTCGTTCACTAAAACTCTTGCTAACTCGGAAGCCTTTGCTAACCGGTACAAGAAGGGATGGGGCTTCACATGTGAGGCTCTTCTCAAGCTTCTGGAGCTGCCTCCTCTCCCTGCCAGCAAGGATGACATCATCGCCGAGCATGACGTGGAGGATATGGCATTCGGTGTTGGTTTCACAGCGTTGAACACTGTGCGACCACAGACCAGGGACCCTTGGCCCGACACGGGCGCCGACCTGAAGGCCTGGACTGGCAAGTATCTAAAGGAAGCAGACAAGAAGCACAACGGGCGCATTTCTGGCTTTGTTCAGGAGCGTCTTGGAGCCGAGGCGAAGACAGTGCTACTTAGTTATATCGCATGAGCAGGCTAATGGAGCAATTTGCACCATTTACTGGATGTATAAACAATCCTATGTCTGATAACTCGACCGTCTCTGCATTATGCCAAAAAGAAATCATGGAGAAAGTGTTGGCTAGCTTCAACCACTCCATTGCATGTCCTTATGAATTGAATTATATTTAGATGACACTAATATGCCTTGACTTCCTCGTAGTTGTGTTGCGAAGTGACTAGTGGTTGATGTTTTTTAAGTTGAGCTACGCTGGGAGAGCGACAGCGTGCCTTCATCCCGTGTGTGAACGCTAGAATAGCGGCGCACGCGATGCAGAGGATCAAATTACCTCTAGCCTCGCGCGATGTCTGAGAGATGCTTCTGCTGTAGAATCTGTTGTTGAGCGGACGGCTGATGAGGACTTTGTATGTCTGCTCCCTCCAATTTTGATTCATGCTTTGAATCAGCCGACTCCAGTGCATTGTTCTCTTCTTCTGCTTCTTCTATCTCTTGACTCTCCTTGCCATCTTCGAGCTCACGATACTTGCGCCGGCTCTTCTTCATTTTACTGGCCTTCTTCTTTCTGGCGCGGTCGGCCTTGATGGCCGCACGACTTTGATCCCCATTCAAGAGCTCTTCGACCTTGTCAGCAAGCAGCTGGCGGGCAATCTTTTCATTCTGGGAACGGGATCTTGTGGCTTGAGACTTGACCACTACACCCGTGGGTTTGTGTATGATCTGGACGGCAGAGTTGGTTTTGTTCTAGGCATTGGAAAAGAAGTAATGTAAGTATCAGATACAATTAACCAGCGGAGTGAGAATTGGGGCGGGGGGAGGGAATGGGAAATATCTGGGTGGCATACGATCTTTTGGCCTCCAGGGCCAGTGCCCTTAAGGTATGAGATGGTCACGTCGGCATCTTGAATCTTCAGGCGGGGAGGTAAGGCTTTGTTGGCGAGGGAGAGCGCAGAGAGAGTGAAGAATCTTGGGAAGGTGGGGAGGTAATTGGATATGAGAAAGGGGCGTGTGATGTAGGGGGTCAAGTGGAGGGGACGGAACATGGTGATCTGAGGCGCCTATTACTAGGTTCCATCTGGAGTACTCTATTATTGCTTGATTAGTATTACATGAAGCTGGCTGGTGTAATTGGCGGCGACGTACGAAGTGCTGCTGCTGCTGCTGCTAAGTACTACTTAGTCTAGTACTACTAGTAATACTGCCGGGAGGAAATCATCACTGGATCTGGACCCGTTTTACAATACCATACCATAATTTACCATTCACTGGTCGGTGACTAAGACAGTTAGTCTCGCACCACACCAGATAAGTCTTCTACTTGGTTTTTCTGTTGCCCTACTTACTACTACTATCTCCGTACCTCAACTGCGGTTCTCCTCTTCTTCCATCGGAACTGATTTTCTGGTTTCCAAACAATATGGAGGATTGGATTGGATTTGTCTCACCTCCTTCTCACCCTGAATCTACAAAAGTAACTGATAGGCCTGGGGAAAATTGGCCAAGCGGAGAGGGTGACGTACGCCGCCCAGTGGATGCGCGGACGACAGCCATCGCCGCACGCCAATCAGTGTCAGATCGCGCGGGAAAATCCATCCCATGAAGGGCAAAGACAGGCAGGGTAGGCATTTGCTTTCCAATGAACTGGATGTGAGTCTGAAACTTTGCACGCTGCAATCCTTCGGCTGGACCCTGAGGGGAGAGGGAAGTGGACCTTTTGGTTTGCTTCTTTCCCGTGGCGGTGGATTTGATTTTGACTTAGTCTCGGCGGCCGATTTGAAACAGTGTCCAGATCGCAAGCATGGACTTGACGGGGGCACCGGTCTAACTCTCTAGTTATCTGAATTCGTATTCGTTCTTCATGACTTTAAATTATATGACTATCTGTTCCGTCCGGCTGTGAAGCTATTCTTAGTTGAGGTGGCCGTCCTGCCCATTTTTTACCCATTCCTGTTCCCCTGGACTTAATCTGAGCTTCTTTTACATTGGGGGGGCTAATTTACTCTTCTACTTTTCTCTCAACCATCACAGCCTCCTGCCAAATTTCTCCCTCTTACTGTCTGTCCCTTTCACCGACTGGAATTGATCAGCTCTTTGTCGATCAACCCACACCTTGATAGTATTATTATTCTTTTTTTATTCTATTACTTATTTTCTTTTTTCCCTCTGTGACCTGCCGACTTAGCACTTTATTATTTCCTCCATCAGCAAACCGACTGGACAGATCATGGAAGCCTAGTTGAACCTCAACAAAATTATCTCCGTCTTCCTACTACTCTTCCTCCTCCCTTCCCCAGCGCGCCTGGACAATTTGCTTCAACTTCAGTGGGCGACTGCGATACTACTCCTAAGGACTTTCCGGGGCAGGAGCTAAATCCACCCCTCATCACCCTCGTATTCCGCGCATTTCTCCGCTTCTTCACTTTCTTTGACCTTCTCCTGGCTCGCCGCCGGTCCCCCTTTCGTTCAATCCTTTCACAACCCGCCACTCTCCCACCATGACTCTCTTCTGGATCCTGAACTCCTTCATGCGCTGGGTGCGCTTGAAGATATATCAATATGAGGTGACCTTCGCCGTGTACATGCTTACGCCTACCGAAAAGTTCATTTTTAGTATGTTCATCTGGTTGACATTGGCTCCCCCAAGTTTCGAGATTGCATTTTTCCTGCATTAAAGCCGCATGGTACTAACGGGGAACGTTCTAGATTCCCTTCTCCTCACTCTCCTCTCAATGATCGTAACCGGCATCTATGTCTACCTTCCCGACCACATCCGATCCATTTATAGCCACCTTTACTACTACTGGGCTGGCGAGCGTCCGTTTATCTCTGCGAGCCTTCCATCGATCAGCTCCGTATTCCGGGAGACCGGTACCCAGACTCTGGAAGTGATGTACGAGACGGCCAAGAATGCTGCTGCGACGGCTACTGCTCCAATTGCCGAACTGTGATATCTCCCCGCCACAGTAGCAATACGGGTTGGATTCTCGGTGTTGGTGACGATTGTGGGCTGCTGGATTGGGTCATCTGGCTTCCCTATTTCCCCTTGTGATACCATCGGGACTTTTCTTGCATTTCGCTATTCGTATCAGCATACTGGCTGTCACTAATTATCATCTATAACCGCATGCCTCTCTTGTCCTCGAGCATGGATTGCATCAGCATTTCACGATTCACCGCACTGCTCCTCCACCGAACGGTTCCTATCGGCGTTGTGAAGTTGTTTCATGGAGTTTGAGCGATACTGTTCTGAGCGGGCCGGCGCATCCTAGGAGTTTCATCATCTTCGTTTTGTTTCCTCCCCTGGTTCATACTCTTGCCTCACGCATATTGTTTATACCTTATCGAGGCAAATCATTGTTACGATCACATACCTTGGTTGCTCGTGTTACTTTGCGCGACTGGACGCTGGAGATCCACTGACTGCACATTTTCTAACATATAAAATTTTAATTCTGTACGGAGCACGACAGTAACGCCGGAGGTAGCACCGAATGCTTTGGAATGCCACGATTTCTTGCACCATTATGCTCAGCCGAGCAGAAACTTTTGCTTTGACATTGCGCCAGATAAAAGTACATATAAGTTGAAGTAAAATAATATAAACACAAATATACCCAATCCAATCATCAAGCCCATCAATCAACCAAATGCAACTCCCGCCATGCTCAGAGAAGAGTGCTATACAAAAACCAGAAAAAGAGCCCCCTCCCCAGCGTAGGTACGCGAGTAGGACACTGTGCAACATAGCCCTCTTGTTCACCTTCGTCGCGCATACACACACACACACACACACACACACAGGAAATGTGCGGTACGCATATATAAGTATACATATATGCCGATTCCGAACAGATCCGCCAGTGTATTCCCCCCGCTCAGACAGATACTTATCCCACGCTAAAACCTTAGTCTGTGTAGACAATCACCGATAATCCCTTATATATCAACCACAACCGCACCGCACCGCACCGCATCAATCAATCAATCCTCGTAGTCCATTTTTACTCCGCATTCGAAGATGCCGCCTGAGCCTGAGCCTGAGCCTCAGCCTCCAACGCCGCGCGCTGCTGTCGCTTCTCCCGCTTCACCGCATCCAACATGCGCATGCGCGACAATTCACGATCGATCTCTTCTTTCTCGAGGGGGATCTTGTGCGATTGCTCGGTGGTGGGCCAGAAGCCGGGGACGCTGAAACGGTCGTCGAGGTTCGTGCCGAAGTAATACATCCACCCGATGGGGAAGATGATGTACATGCCGAACTGGACGGATTGGTTAGATTGTCTGGCTGCCCCTCTTCTTCCATTGAGCATGGAATTTATGAGATTAATTGGTTGCTTTGCATACCTTGAATACCTCGAGGTTGCCTCCCTGGAGTCTGCGGAGGATGGAGGACATGGTGGGCTGTTGCTCTTGGTGGTGGTGGTGGTGGGATGGATGGACGGGTGGTGAGTGAGTGTGTGTGTGTCTTTAGTCTCCTTTAATTTTCCCTGGTGTGGTGGGATATGAGAGAAAGAGTGGTATGCTAATGTCGAGGTATAAAGTTGCGAGGATTCCTTCCTGATCCGTCCACCGACGAAACAAATTAATCTGGCACTGATCGTTCCGATACTAGTAAGTACGGACGACGGATTATTATCACGGAGCTTCTGACCATGCCATGCCGACCATGTATTGCAAACAGAGCAAACATTTCCCACGTGCCGTGCAAGTCAGGTGATGCTAATTACTCATCAGGACTCGACTCTACGTCGCGGCCTGCCGTGGACCGAGGCTTAGGAGCCTCGGCCCGTGGGTTTCCCCGCATAGGCCGTTGCATGGAGGAGGAGGTTATGGCAGATCCCCGTTAGGTTAGTAGAATCCACCTGGCTGTTAGTTATTTCTATTACCAGGGACTATTAAGACTAGAGGGTTGCCTGGAATTGCTTTTTGTCTAGAATTGTCACTCATCAAATATTCCTTTTTTAAGGCGCATCTGACCTTGCAAGTGTGCATTTTGGGAAGGTTACACAGAATCTCCTTATTTCTTTCTTTTGAAGCGGGTTTAAACCCAGCGGGTCTCCGATAGACATTATCCAACAAGTCTATACCAATAGCCCCTATCCACTACTATTTACACACTCTTCTCTGTGACAGCACAACACACAAACCACCCCGATCCCCAACATGGCTACTACCACCGAAGACCCTA